CAGAGTCTGAGGTCATCATCCGCGACGGTCTGCGACGGCGACATCTTCTTCTCACAAACCCAGGCCGTTCCATCTCTCGTGTAGTTAAACTCGAGTCACAGCCACGTAGAGGCGTGCACATCGATCACTGTTTTCATTACCACATTAATATTTAACAGATGTGTCTGGAGTTACTTACTTATGGCTTCCACCAACTCCCTGAACACGGCGTTCATCTGCGTACAAGTGCAGGAGCCGTCGTACGAGTAGCTGCATTTCAACACCACTGCTGCTGCTTCAGCTTCTGCTGTTGAGAAACAAGTCGTTGTTCATATTTCTTTTTTTTTTTTGCATGATTTTGAAAACTGATTTTTTTTCTATTCTGATCTACAGTTATGTAACATTTAATGAAATTTGAAAATAGTTATCAAAATATTTGTTATTGTAATAAGTTCACATACATTACCTGTTACATCCAAAGACTAAATTAGAGAAAAACAGAATAAAACACTACAAAATCTCAAATGAACAAATAAATGGAGAAATGTAACTGAGTGGATTAACACAGATTATTGTATCTTTTGTTTTCCTTTGGGGTTTTTTTGAGGGTCGATGTTGAAGCAGAGACACTGTGACATCAGAGAAGATCAGAACGACAGCACAAAGATGAGAAAAAGAAAAATTATAAGTGAGACGAAGTTGAGTGGAAGAGAATCACTCCCGGGGCCGCCCGATACATAACTTATTTCCAACTGTCTGTCAGCTGAGCCAATGGAACATGAAATTGAATTATCTTCTTTTCACTGTAACGCACAAACTCTGGCAGAGATTCAAAATGGAGAGAGTAAAGAAGACAGTTGGAAAGAAGAAGAGGCAAAAAAAAAAGGGAAGTAAAAACAGAATAATAATCCTATTTCACGGGTATCAGGTCCATTAAACCCAGGACTGTGAATGAAACATATAGTTATGTTCCTATGAAATTCCAATATCAGCTTTGGCCTCAGTGATACCTTGTCATGTCTGCAGAGCCGTGTCATCACAGATGCCTAAATATTTCTTTAGATATAGAACCTTAAATTTGTACGTTCAGCTGTCGTTTCCACCCTGAGCTCACAGATTTATCCCATAATATCTTGGAATAAAACTAAGTCTAGAAGTTGTGGAGTAGGACATTCACAGAAAAAAACTATTCCTTGAAACGTCGTCGTGATTGGTCGACGTAGGGAGCTGAGAGAACAACCGGTTACTGTGTCTGCGAAGTTCCTCCTCTGTCAGTGGGACGACGTCATTAAATGACTCGTCCACACGACGTTGACTTTATTGTCAGATTGCTTGACGTTGATGAAAATTCAGATTCAATCCTGTTTAGAGGAAAATAAGATTTACGTTTCATTTACATGATCACATTGGATTTAAAGATTCCTGTTTAGTTGAACTGACTCTAAGAATGAACTCCTGTCATTTCCTAATATAGTCCCCAAATCTCTAAGAATGAACTCCTGTCATTTCCTAGTATAGTCCCCAAATGTTCCCTTCAAAGTGTAGGAAAGATGGAAAAGTCAAATGAAAAAACAACAACAACAAAATGGCGATTTGAAGATGAAGTTTTTTTTAATGAGTTAGAATAGGACACAGAGCCACCGTCAAAGTTCAGCACATTGTAGCTTTTTAAAAATACATGACAGCAGTTGCCAAATTGTTTTATACGAGGCAATGGAGAGAGACGTACAACATACGAAATACAGACGGAGAGAGTGATAGAGAGAGAGAGAGAGAGAGACATTGATTTTGAGTAGTGGTGGTTATAAAGCATGACCAGACACTGAAATGGAGAACATGGTTGAATAAAGCACTTCCAGGTACTGCGCTGTTTACTGAGGACAAAAATCGCGTGGTGAGTCAGTCAACGTCCGTCAACAGAGACAGTGAAAAAACAAATGAAAGAGAAAAGGGACAAAACCCATTTTTTCCTAATCTCACACAGTATCAGAAGCTCAAACTGAAGCCGTGATCGCAACATGTTTAGTTTGGTTCCTGTCCCTTTGACATTTAGACCACAAAGAACTCATCATAAATTCTTTCATTTCTGACAAAGTCCAAATTAAATTATTGACGCTTCTCAAAAGTCTCTATTTCTAACCTTTTTCTCAGAATGATCTGATTCTCAGGTTCCATTCTTTGATGCCAAATATGAGCCCTTTTCAAACACCGTAGTACTTCACGAAGACGGTTACCATGTTTACCATAACTCTCTAGTCCATTCAGAATCAAAGGGAAAAAAGTGAAAAGCATCCTTCTTATTATTTCCCTCCAGAGTATAACACTTTAATTACACGGCAGAATCTCAGGTCAGAATCCTGATTTGAAAAAGTCTAAACGTTCTCTTTTATCTCGAACATTAAGGGGAAGAAAAAAAAAATACAATAATTTATTTTCTTTCATTCTCAGCTGAAGATTAAAGTGATCTAAAACAAATTAAAAAAAAAAATCACACTAAGGCACTAAGGACAGACTGCTGCTGGAACTAGTACTTAACGTTTTACCTGATCTTTAATGTGACACGGGGATTCAACTACCAATTACAAACGTTATTGTGGAACATCGTGCATTCAGAGATTGGCATCTGCCGCGGCCCTGAGCTGATGAACTCATCCTGCATATATATAATAAGATTTAATCTTTCCTCAAATTTTAAATGAAGTAAAAAAAGAACCTTCACAGGAAATGAGCTGTTTACATCTGAGTAATGTAGCTTACGCTAATTGTTCGCTACCTGCTTAATTTCCTACTTCCTAAATAATTATAATCACGTAGTAAAATCAATATTAAAGTATAAAATAAAGTTAAAATAGAGCAAACTATTTTACTTTTCATTCCTGTGAATCAAAACCCAATGTGTTATTTTAGCTATCCCAAGCAGAGCTAATATTACGCTACGCTAACTCTTCATATTAGCGTAGCTCTTTGATCTCTACAACTTCTGCTCGTCCTCTCATTTCTTCATGAAAGAAAATATCATTTTAGTTTAATGTGGTTTCACAGAATATTCACTTCCAAACTTCCTCGGCTGGAAATTCCATTTAACACGATAACAGGAACTGCCATGACATTTCTTTAAGTTTACTTTCAGTTCACAATGCAGCAGATAATTGGAGATTGTAGGCGCTGAAAGACCACAGGTGTGTGTCATTGTCTGTGTGTGTGTGTGTGTGTAAAATGCAGGCTATTTGTGCTGCAAACAATGAGACGTGAAACCTTCATGAAGCGGCGACAGTCGTTCAAAGACGGCTGAACATGAGATGAAACATCGGACACAGCAAAAGATTCAGCTTATGTGTGGAACCCATGAATCTTCTACTCTCTCCTGACTTACGATGACACAGCAAAAGATTCAGCTTATGTGTGAATTAGAACCAGATCTAAAGAAGAAACAGCTGTGAATTCGTCTCAAAGACCGAAACGGAACCCATGAATCTTCTACACTGTCTGTAAAAATAAACATCAAATATCAAAATGAACCAGTCAAAATCACTCTCTATGTAAATAATAAAAGTATATTGGATCATGTAGAATATTTTCTTATGAAATATCTAATGGATGTGAAGTCATAACCATGTATCCATACACGCAGGACAAAAAAAAAAAAAAAAAAAATCAGGAGAAGGAATAAGTTAACATATCCTAGAATTTTGAGATTTACAGTATATACATTCTTTAGGTAACAAGGTCTCAGTCGTGAACAATCGCTGTTGTTTTCCTGCTGGTCCAGAGTAGGTCCAAGT